TCTACTCTTTGCAGTAGATCTTTCTGCTCTTTCCCTTCTTGTACCTTTGCTTCTATGTCTAAAGTCAATCTACTGTCCAGGTGATCATTGAGGTTGTTCTGCTCCTTCCATTTCTCCTATTTTTATTGCAATGTATGATCTTCTTTATTTTACCCATGCAGCAAACCCCTGCATGCTTCACCAACTCTATACAGAGCCTATTCTTAGTATGTAACACCTGACCACTGCACAGTCATCTGAGCAAACCTTCAGATAACAGGAGTCTGACTTGTACCTGATGGCAGGTGTAAGGAGTGAAACAGAATGGTGAGAGTACTGCGCCCTGTGGAGCTCCTGTGCTGCTAAAAACCCCTTCTATACAGCAATATGCGAATGCGTGTGTTGATGAATAATGGTATGTCCTAAAGTCCATGGCCAGTGGTTGTTCTTGTATGAAATTTCCTCATCCAACAGGAGTTTTTTTTTCCCCCTTATTGCTCGTGTCCTGTTGTCTGGTCCTCCCCTTAGCAGAAAGCTTTGGCGCTCACCTGAAACACTGCCTCTGAGAAGTATAGCAAGTGGATTTTAACTTGACCTTTAACTTTTTGCAATCTAAATCCAGAGGGGGATTTACCATTAGGCAAAACTAGGCTCTTGCCTAGGGCCCCAAGTTCCTGGGGGGCCCATAAAACTCCTTGTACATGTATGGATAATACAACTATTACTTATTTGTGCACATTAATTATGTATCAGATAAAAATCCTTTGGCTAAAATCCCATCAGAACGCTTATATTATTAAAAATGGAGAACAGATCAGCAGATCATGGCTTTTCTACAGTGAAAAAAAAAGAACTGAGTTATTTACTTTAGCCGTCACCTTTTTGGAAACACAGGAAGGAGCAATCAGCTAAGTGAGCTTAGTTCTTGGAAAAAATATTTCATTCCTTCTGAGACAGCATGAAAAGTCAAAACATAGAGATAAAAACAACAAGAAAAGGGAGAAGAAGACAGGGACAAAACTTAGAACAAATAATGTATGTATATTCTATTAAAATTACTGTATCTGTACAATGAGCCTGTTCTGTGTGTTGTCTTCTCAATTCAGAGGGACCCCTGCCTGTTTTTTACTAGGGTCCCAAATTTCCTAAATCCACCCGTGTCTAAATCCAACCTAGCATCTGGGGGACTATTGGACAATCCAGATGCCTGGAGGCCTCGTATTACAGCAGAACTGTAGGTATCTTTTGGGGTCATAGCTGTTGTAGCAGCAGAAGGGAGGAAACACTCTGTAAAGCCAACAAATCTCATCATGTTGCATTCATGGTTTGTTTGTTTTTTTAACAACGGTGGTAACAACAATGCCCCAAAACAAAAAAGGTGCCGGGTTGAAGTCCGGGCCTGGCAAAAAGGGTTCCTGGGGGAAGTTCGTTGGTCCCCCCAAGTCCGCCAGGGGCCCCCCCCGGCACCCCAAGTTCCCCCGCCAACGAAAAAAGCGCCCACCAAGGCCACAATGAGGCGAAAACCGACACCAAACCCAACAAATGGCACTAGAAAAAAAACGAAACAAAAAAGAAACCAGCATAGAGGAAGGAACAAAATCAACAGCTACAACAACTTAAAAAACAAACAAAAAAAGGAACATATTTAGGAGGATGTACGGCTTACTTTACCTCGAATAATATACTTGAAAAATATCGCTACAAAGAATCCAGAAAAATACCTGACTAAAATCTCCCACTACGAGTAAATCGAACACTAACAGAAACACGTAAAAAAACAGCCAAAAATAGAAAAAAAGAGGTAAAGTTGGTACCCCGGTCCAAAAAAAAAAAAAGTCCCAATTTAAGGAATGGGTTTCCAAAGATTAAGCTGAAAAAAAGATACAGTAAAAGTATTTCTTCGGCACAAGTTTGTTCTTTTTAATTCATGATTTATTTGTAGCCTTTCTACAGAATACCTTTTTTTACTTTTACTTGAGTAATTTGAATAAAAGTAGTGCTAGTCTTAACTGAGTACAACTCTTGGGTATTTTATTTGTACTCGGCAGGGTAGCAACTAATACTCATTTATTATCTTGCATATTTGAAAATTAAACCAGCATGATAACTTGCATAAGAAGAAATCAGTTTATTTAGTCTAGAATTTAATAATGAAACTTACTACTCTATCAGTGATGGTCAATGTGGTGTGTCTACTTTGTTGCTGGATTGAATCTGTATTTAATAAGTACTGTAGATCACTCAAACAGCATTCTCTTTTGAAAAATCCCTTTTGTAGAGCACATGAACACAACCATATGCTATATAATGTATCCCTAAAGAAAACAAAAAGCGATAAAGGGATGAATGTTGGTTTCAGTTATTCTTTGCTTTATCATTTGCAGGCTCCTTAAATGGAAAGTTCACTGAAAGTATAAAGTTTTCTATGAGATCCTCTTTCCTCCAAAGCCAAACACTAATTCTTCATTCAGAGGTCTAAAGCTTTGTGAAGTGATGCAGTTTAAGGATATAGATCATTAAGAAATTTATTTTTCTCTACAGATATTAAGCTATTTTTGTCCTTGCCTTATCAGAATAAAAATATATAGAAAATTATACTTAAGAAAGGTCAATTGTCTCTTTGTGTTTAACTTTGTGTTTGGGTTTATTTTGAATTATAATAAAT